ATTCGAAAATTTGCTTCATTTCTGGTTGCCTTGCCTTATTCAACCTGAAAAACAATTTTAGTTTTCTTTCTATTTTAAATAAGCATTAATTTATAAAAACTTACTTGTATTTTTTAATAAATTCCAGAACTAAATTTCTAAGTTCTTTTCTTAAATACGCATTGTAATTCCGAAAGCAACCAAAGGTCCATTTTTGCAACGTAGCATATTCTGATGTACTGGTTTGAATATTTTTAAATAAGGATCTATCTAGTACATCGATAATAGGTTTATTTATGGTTTGAGTATGAAAAAATAGGCCTTTAAGATGCATTTAGAGAGTTCTGAGGTCCTATTTTAATAAATATTAATTAATTGAACTATTAATATTATTTAAACTTATATCAAAACTTACTCTTTCTGATAATATATTGAACTTGTCTTTTTCTTAGATAACTGTAGAACCTTGGCCATCTGCCTTTATCATACTCATTGTTAACTTAATGAGATTGGGATGTTGTACAAGGTATAGACAAAGCTCCAAATTATTTTTAAAAGGGCTGATAAAAGAAGTTGAGAAATTATTGATTTGTTTGATGTTAATGGGTGCTGGCTATTAGTATCTTCGAAAGAGTGGTTGATTAAGGAAGATGAAGCAATATTGGGTAATAGTTATCGTTTACTATAAATACTTTCAGGAAAATCACTTCTATCTGAAAAAGATGAAGCTTTAGATGCAATTGGCCATTTATTATAAGACAAAGAGCTTTTAATTAATGAGGATGACGATAAAGCTTTTGATATTTGTTCTATTTGTTGTACGATATTTTTAGATAGCAGGTCGTAACTAATTAAAGCGGACGGGATACTTGATGGTTGAATTATCTCTAAAAAAATTATATAATGCGTTAATATTATTTGCGTACTGTAAAATGCATAAATAATTTATACTATTATCACTATTAATCCAATTCGGTTCGATTTCTATTCTCTTTGTCATGTTAGTACGATTGGAAGATTTTTTTTCTTTATCGTTATTTGCTGTAACTTCCATATTCATAGCTTGTGCCTCATGATCTTCAGCTGATCTTAGAGAAGGCTCATCATTAGGTTCTTCATATCCTCTACTCTTTTTTACATTAATACGATTTGAAACCTTTTTTCTTTTATTTACTGTAACTTCTATATTTGTGGCTTGTCGCTTATCTTCAACCGAATTATTTGTTTCATTTGATCTTGAAGCTAACAATAATAAATAATATAACTAATATTCTAATTACAAAGGCAAGTTCATCTCTTACCATCATTTTTTTTCTTAGCAACTTTTCGTGTTCTAGCCATTTTTGAGTCTAAAATTATAATTAGATTAAAATTGTATCTTTCTCTTGCCAACTTCGATCAATATTATTACTTTTGCTATTAATTTTACTTTGACAAGTTTGTATCTCATTATTTTGTTGATTTCAAATAAAAAAAAATCAATTTTTTTAATCGACTTTTCTTCTTTTATTATAATTTTACTACGCATTACATACATATTATCATTACATATGTATTATCATTATTACATAACGACAATGCATCAATTTAATTTATTACAAATGTAGAAAATAAATATATAGATTTTAAGATTTGCATAAATTATATGTATTATGACTCTGAGCCCTGAAAAGGTAATATATTGATTACTTATATGTATTTTCGCTTTTTTCTTCAAGATTGTAATCTAACATTTTTCTTAAACTATAGAGATTTTTAGGTCTATAGTAAAGTCATTATTTAGTTTCACATGCAGTTATAGGTTCTATCAAATCAGTATTTCTCTTACTTAGCAGGACACCAAGTCTTCATACATTCTTTAAATTCAATAGGTTGAATTTTCAAAAATGTAATTTAATTAATTACATTTTTATGAGGTCAAATCAGATAATCACGGGATATTTTATGTAAGAAAAATTTTGTCTAACATATTTTAATTTTATTTTATGAATTACACACTAATATCTTTTATTATCGTCTTTAATATTATCTATCTCAATAATAATAACAACAAGACTAAGCAATTA